TTGATTTGAATTTGATCGAATTAAATCAAACATTGATTTGGATTTGATCAAATAAATCATTCTTTGATTTGAATTTGTTCAAATCAAATAAAATATAAATTTGTATTTGTATTTGATTTGATTTTCAAATCAAATATTTAAATATCAAATCAAATTGCAGAACCCTACCTGTAACCTTACATAGAATTTCACCGTAATATTTCATAATTTATGAGCTTGTAACCCTATGTAGGATTTTATCATAATATTCATAAATCTGACGAACTCATAAACTCACATAATTTTACAACGTAATACTCTAAAATATTACGAAAATTTTAAATCTACAAAATATTATATCGCATTTAAATTCCAGATGTTATAACTATTAATATTTTTTGAGATCTTATTATTTATATTAATAAAGAATTATTTTATTTATAATAATTAGCATTATTATTTCTAATGATATGAACTAACTAATTTTGTAATAAAAATATAAAAAGAATAAATATTAAATAAAATAAATATAAAATATGCAAGCTTTGCAATAGAAAGAAAGAAAACTATAAAAAAAATTACTTTATAAGCTAAAATGATATTTTTAGTAAAATAACATTAACTTAAAAAACAATTCTTTTTCTTTTATTACAAAGTATTTATAATAATTATACATAATATAAAAAATATAAAATAAAATAAAAATGAATAATTAGACCAATTGCAGATCCTCTAATTTTGAATTAAAAGTATTTTTTATAAAAGCTAAAATTATTATTTTATCTCTTTATTAAAAAAGCTTTATAAAGTATAAAATAAAATTTATATTTATTTTATATATTTAAAAAAATTAAAAAAATTTAAATGAAAATTAACTAAATTTAGATAAAATTATTATCATAAAGGATATTATTTTAGGCTTGTGTAACTTTGAAGATTATCATACGATTATCTTTTTACATTTTCTCGTGATAGAAAATTACCTTTTTAACAAAAAAATTAATGTCATCTACAGTTGCAAAAGGAAAAGAACTTGAGCAAAGGATTTTTAATATATTGAGGAGCGTAGAAATTGAGTGCAAATGGACAGGGTGAGTGAGTATCTCACTGAGTTATTTGCTGAATCGTTGTGTATCTGAAGTTACGCTGCCACTAGGTGTAAAATGTCTGGGAATTGAAAGCTCATCGTGGCCACGGATTCGACCGTGAACGTTCTTCCCAGTTTCCAAAGTCCCGCACTGCCGTAAGGCACTTGCTACATACGCTGGGGATTTGTGGTGAATAGGATACACGAATCAATAATAGAAAGCTCTTCGTGGCCACAGTCAACAGCGACTGCGAACGTTCTTCTTGGTTCTTAACGATGGTGACGCATGTACTCACGTTTTTTACCATGTCTTTATAGTGGTTCGGGTGACGGAGGAGTGGATATCATCGGTGTTGTTGTTGGGATCCCGTTCGTGATCCAGTGTAAAAATTGGACAAAACATAAAATTGGTATGCTTTAATAACATATGGTCTTGAATATAAACTAATTGATGATTAACGATTACAGGTCCCTCCGTCATCCGTGAATTAGAAGGAGCTCTTACTAGACAAACAAGGGGTACAATAGGTGTTGTTGTGGGGCATTCAAAATATAGATTCACGCCTGGTGCGATAGATACGGCTAGAACATCGATTTATGATATTATCCTCACGGATAAGAAAGACCTTTGTATAAATCTCATTCAATTAGTCGCTGATCGACTGAACAAATCTTATGGCTTCCATTATAAATATTCTTTTATTGCTTTCTTGTTAACTTTTTTACCTTTTTACTTGTATAGGTTTGTATGTTAATATTTTTGTATATATTTTATTTCTTGTACATTATTTTTTTTTTATTTTTTATTTTTTTCATCATTTTTCTTATTTATCTTTCATATTTTATTTGTATTTATTTTTCCATTATCTGTATTCTTTATTTCTTGCATGTACATATTTGGTCCTATCTGTATCATATTGGTGTCCATAGTTCTATATCAATAAAGCATTTCTTATTCACTAGTACAAAAAAAATTGCGTGGTGGGTTTTGTTAATCGATTTTGATTTCGGCTAGGAATTCCTTCATATTCTTGATAATTTTATTGAGGGATAATTATAAGGGATGGATTTTTGATCTTTATTTCCATTCAGTATTAATAAATTTTTCCGAATCGATTATTAGGTTTTAGATTTTGCCGCAAAAGATATAATAAGGTAGCGAGTTTTTCAACGAAATTAATTAATTCAAAATTATCATCGATAAACCTTGTGTGGGAAGTTGAATGTATATTATAATGCTAATCCCCGTTCTCTTGCTTTCAAGTTCCATAGTCTTCGTTCGATCCGGAACAAGCTTATATCAAAAATCGTCGAAATCGCATGCCCATTACCGAGGTTATCTGAAAAAATGCTTGAGTTCGGTTCCTGCATCATAGCTATTGTAAGATACGTGCTAGTGTCTGCTAATCCAGTGATGAAGCATCGAACCTTTGACTAATTGACGACAAATTTGAGTCTTTGGATTGTTGGATTTGTGTTATGAGGTAAATAAAATCAGTTATTATTTGATGACTTTTGATTTCATTGCATAAATGTTAATCGAACTTGCATTAATGGATTCCATTTCAATTGCCATGGGCTTTAAAAGGAAGCAGAAAAATAATTCCATAGTGACATGATGCCATATTATCCTTTCACATAGTATATATATTTATTTTCCTTGAACTTTTCTGTAAATCCTGGCTTATATATTATGAAGCCGTTGATCCAGATTTTCTTGATGCGATCATTCTTGCTGAATTTGATTGTCATATAAAAGGAGATTGAAAAAAATTTTTATTATAAAAATTATAAATAATTTTTTTAATATTTATTATACACATATATGTAATTTTAAAATTATTATTTATATATATAAATTTGTATTTTATACTAATTAAGTAATATAAACTCAAAAATATATAGAATATTCATAATAAAATTCTCAAAATACTTAATCATAATGTAATTTAGTGTATAAAATAATACAATTATCAAAGTAATATAAATTCTTAATACTTAATTTACATTAGGGTTGTTATCATATTCTTCCTCTATGTGGCGATTCAAAATCTTTTGGAGCTTCCATTTTTAATCATAGATATCTATTAACGGTTAAATTAATTTGCTAATACCTTTAATTCGGATTACAAATTTGTAAGCCTGCATTATAGATTTTTTTTCATCTCAAAAATCTATTTTTTTTTTCTGGGACTGTGTTACACAACTCGTTTCTTGCCTTTTATAGGATAATACGTCATCTTCGTGAAATGCTGCTGAGTCAAAGGAAATCTATGATAAAATTCTAATATAAGGAAGAAAAAGTTCTGCGATAAGAAAAAGAATATATCGCTAATTTACTTGTGATTTTCGTCGTTCATACCTTTTCGTTGTTTCATTAATATAAAATAACAGCAGAATACATTAAATAATCATCATGACTAAACGTATAACCGCTGACGAAGTTGCTAGACATAATACCGACAGCTCCATCTGGATCATTGTTCATGACAAAGTATTTGATGTAACAAACTTTTTAAATGAACACCCTGGTGGAAAAAAAGTTCTACTTAAGGTTGCTGGAACAGATGCTACCAAACAATTTGATAATTTTCATGCAGCATCAATTTTAGAAAAATATACCAAGTTGCAAATTGGCGTAATTGGTCAAGAAGAAGTTTCAAGCGAAGTTGCTTCGGTCGATGGCCCATTTGGTGATCTCGTACCTCACGGAGATCCCTATTGGTATCAAGATTTTTATAGTCCATATTATAATGATTCTCATCGACGTGTAAGAGCTGCTGTTCGTAAATTTGTTGAATCAGAAATTATGCCTTATACTTTTGATTGGGATGAAGCTAAGAAAATCCCTCAGGAACTTTTTATAAAAGCTGGTAAAGCTGGTATCTTACCGGCCGTCTGCGGTGCTCCTTGGCCTGGAAAGTGGGTATAGATCAACATGAGCACAAAAAATTGATTGAATTAGACGATTTAAATTTTTTTTTTATTATTCCCGCTCATTTAGATATACCGATATTAAACCTATTGGTGGAGTAAAAGTTGAAGAATTTGATCATTTTCATGAATTTATTGTGTCTGATGAATTGGCACGTTGCGGATCCGGTGGTGTCTTATGGGGATTGACCGGTGGTAAATATCATAATTACTTATTTATAAATGGTAAAATTATTGTAAATCATGATTTCTTAAATTATCGTCATATTATTATTCTAATTTTATAAGGTTTGGGTATCGGTCTTCCCCCAATTATTAAATTTGCTTCCGAGGAACTTAAGAGAAGGGTTGCTCCAGAATGTCTTGCAGGAGTAAAGAATATTTGCCTTGCTATCACAGAGCCATATGCTGGATCTGATGTTGCAAATATTAAGACAGAAGCCAAGCTTTCTGCTGATGGTCAACACTATATCGTTAATGGTGAAAAGAAATGGATCACAAATGGTGTTTTTGCCCATTATTTCACCGTTGCGGTTCGTACTGGGGGTACTGGTATGGGTGGTATTTCTCTTTTATTAATCGAGAGGGACATGCCCGGTGTTAAGACTCGTCAGATGTTATGTTCTGGTGTATGGGCATCAGGAACTTCTTACATTACTTTTGAGGATGTGAAAGTACCAAAATCCAATCTTATCGGTAAAGAAAATGGAGGTTTCAAGGTAAATTACAAATATTAAATGATTTGGAAAGTTTTTATGTTTGTTTTTAATCATACTATTTTTTATTTCTGTTAGTGTATTATGCATAATTTCAATCATGAACGTATGGGTATTGCAATTCAAGCAACACGCTTTGCTCGTGTTTGTTATGAAGAATCCATGAAATATGCTCATAAACGTAGAACATTCGGTAAAAAGCTCGTCGAACACGATGTCATTCGAAATAAACTGGCCCATATGGCACGTCAAATTGAAGCAACACATGCGTGGATGGAATCATTAATTTACCAAACAAATCTCATGTTTGGAACTGAAGCTATGAATAGGCTTGGCGGTCCAATTGCTTTATTAAAAGCACAGTCAACACAAACTTTCGAATATTGTGCTCGTGAAGCTGCGCAAATATTTGGTGGCTTATCTTACTCACGTGGAGGGTGAGTCATCAATCTTTAGTTTTAGAATATTTTATTTAAATTTCTTAAATTTTCTAATAAATTCTTATCAAATTTCACTTTTAATATTACAGACAAGGTGAAAAGGTTGAACGTTTATACCGTGAAGTGCGTGCTTATGCAATTCCCGGTGGTTCAGAAGAAATTATGCTCGATCTTGGTATCAGACAATCTCTTAAAGTTGCACAATTCTACGGTGCTAAACTTTAGGATGTCGAATTAACGATGAATGACTGACGAATATCATAATGAATAATTAGGATTGTCAAATTAATCAAGTTCATAAATATATTTGAATTTTATTTATTTATTTTCTATGAAATTGTATTTTTTTTTATTTTATTTTTTTTTTATTTTGAAATACAATTCTTTTCAAATATAGAATTTTTGAATCTGTTATTTCTGAGTGATGTTCAGGCAATTTATGTAATAATAATGATTTAGAGATTAATTATATCATTAGTTTCAATTCAATAAACGAAACAAATATTTCGTTAGTCCGGAGGACTATATAATTCTTCAGTTTCAAAATTGAGTCGATACGTGATTGGTTACTTTCGTTACACTTAACAACGGTCCCCGTTCCCTAGTAAATAATTTAATTGTATTGTATTAGAACACGAGTGATATCAAAAATCGTCATTCTTATCTATTTAGGATCCCTGAATATCTGAATGGATCAATTGTGTAACCACACGTATCATAAATATATCATCCAAAACGCGTCTCCCAAAAATTGGGTTTTCTATAAATAGAAATGTTCAAATAACTTCTACAAGGAAACGATAAAAAATTTTTTTTCAAAATTAACGCGTTATAACATGCCAAACCTATGCTCTTTTTTTCAAAAGTAAAAACGAAAATGTCTGCACAAAAACATACTGGAACTCCTGTGAATACTGGAACATATGAGGTACAACCAACTTTATTACCATTCGCTTTAAAAAGGTCAAAACTTTAACAGTAAACTTTTTAATACAGCAAAGTAGTTTCCCGAGACCTTCAGCACCTTACAACACGCATACACCTTCTACACCATCACAGCCACGTAGAAGCTTCCCTACAAGAACTTTTGTATCTTCCAACACACCACGTCTTCAACCTATAAATGTTCCTCAACCAAACTATTTTTATCTTCCTTTTCTTGACAACACGATAAAAAAAATATACGAATTTCATAAACAACGACAAAGAAGAAACACTCAAGAAACTTCTTCAATCAATTCAACAGCACGATTATATAATCAACCGTATATACATGGTGGAGATGTGATAGAATTTTATGGACCTTCTTGCGGTGGTAAGACCACAATATTACACCATGTGATTGTTACTACCATTATTCCTAAATATTGGACTCGTGATGATCGTTCAAGAATTGAATTGAATGGACATGGTAAAGGAATATTGTTTTTTGATTTAGATGGTAGATATGATATAAAAAGATTATATTCAATGATTATATATTATTTAAGAAACCGGATTGGGCAGATTATAAAAGAAAGTAATTCTCAAAAAGTGGAGATCCATCAACAATTACCTACACCTTTATCATCATTTTCAACGCAAGGTTCGCAAGATGAACTTTTTAATATGAAATCACTTCCAACAGAACAAGAGCTTGATGTGATAGCAAAATGTTCATTGAAAAAACTTCATATTTTTCAACCAAACGCGTCAGTTGAGTATCTAGCAACATTACTTTCATTACCAGAATATGTAAAAGAAATTCAAGAAAAGGAAGGATATGAATTTAATTATTTAATGATTGATTCGATTAATGCATTTTATTGGCAAGATAAATCTGAAGAATTAGGAGAACAAGCGATTAATTCAGAAAATGGTGTTGATACAGATACAGATGATGATGGGGAAGGAGAAAGAAATGTAAATAGCATCAATAGTATTGAAATGGATAATTTTGAGATTTTCAGCGAAGTTGTTGATCAAAAACCATCACCTCCAATGTATAATAATGGAAGACGATCTCAATCAACAACTCCAAGAACAAGTACTAATAGCGTTAATAGTAATGCATCGAATCAAAATAACAATGTTTTTCAAGGTTATTCATTTTATATAGTTCAAGCATTGCAAAAATTACTTCAATCAACCAATTTAATTGTCTTGGCAACAAATTGGGTGACATTTGGACCATCAGAACAACAGCAACAAATTCCTTTAGTAAATTCAAATTCAAGGCTTCCACAAGAATTAACTTATTCAACCGCATCATCATCATATTGGGACTCTTTATTAAAATATAAATTTGTTATAGCGAAACAATTACTACCACAATATCCCGATGATGTAATACCAAAAATGATTGAGAAAGATGAGAATAGGAATAATTTATTGAAAGAACCTTTATTTTTTGGAAGATTAATTTATCCTGAATGTGATGGAAATTGTGGGGATATCTTTTCATTCAAAATTTCTGAAGAAGGAATTATTTGTGATTAAAATATATTTATAATAATATTAAATTAATAAATTTGGGAGAAATTTCCTGCGGCGATTTTCTAAATTTTATGTATATGTGAACATCAAATAGAATTTTAATATTAGCAACATGCCCGTCTTTGTGTCAAACATGCCCAGTTAAAATCAACTTTCATAAATCATAAATATGATCTAAATTAATCTCTGTGTAGTGAACATTAATCGGTACGTTTTTTATTGTAATAAATGCACACCCTGAACGTTAGAAACAGTTTATCATTCTTCGCTGAAATATATGGGGGAGCTTTGCAATAGAAAAGGGGGAAACTGCCGGGAAAAATTAATCGTTTATGCCGAATATGATTTTTAGGCTGAAATATGGGAGCTGATCTATTAAAAGTGGGTTCCGAGACTATAAATTGATTTTGAGTAATTGAAAAAAAAAAAAAAATATTGTTACGCCACAATAAACATATTTGGCCAATAAAAAATTGCACTAAAAATATATATTGAGTCGAATCAATTGATAAGGCAATAGAAAAAAAAAACTCTCTCCTGTTTATTACAAAATGACCAAAAAAAAACAGCGAGCAAAAACAAAAACAACGAGGACGTTCGTCTTCACCTTTAATTACCAACCAAAATAAAAGACAAAATACAACGAAAACTGTGGATATTCCACCAACCCAACAAACTACTGAGGTTCCAG